CGTTTAATGTTACAGGAGAGCATTATGTGTCTTAGTTTTGTGTGTGTGTGTGTGTGTGTGTGTGTGTGTGTGTGTGTGTGTGTGTGTGTGTGTGTGTACATGTCTGAATGCACTATATCTGTTTCCCCAATTGCCTGCCATTCCTTGCAGTCTGTATTCTCAGCTGCTTGGAGAGATATTTAATGTCCTAAAAATATCATCCTGGGCAGCAGGATGAGAACCAACCTCACCCGGTTAAAAAACGATATTAATAATAATAATAATAATAATAATATTAAATCTGAAGTGTGATCCGACCAGCACACAATACATCCAGCTATACCGACAGCAGTCACTGATGTTATGACACGAGCAGCCACTGCTACACACACCGTTTCACACTTGTCCAGAAAATAAATAACACTGCAGTCACAAACAAGATCCCCAAGCTGACATACCACCTGAGAGAAAGAGAGAGAGAAGTCATGAAAGACTAGATTAGAACACACAAAACATGCAGCATGTGGCACATTTTTATCATCTTTAGATATCGGTATGCTCAGTCAGTAGCAGTAGAGTAGCCCCTATGTCAAAAGATTATAATCTCTGTACTCAGCTGTCTCTCATGAGAATATTAGAATTTTACTACTATTTGTTTTTGCTTTACAGTCTACGACTAAACTCACTGGCCACTATATTAGGTATGCGTTTCTAGTGCTGTACTGTGGTCATAAAAGGATGGATATGGTAAGCAGCAATATTTAGGGAGACTGTTGTGTTGAAACAATCCTCAGTTCGTACTACAAATCAGAAAGAGTGTCAAGAGAATATCTCCCACATCATTACACCAGCAGCAGCAGCCTGTACTGTTGATATAACGCAGCATGGTATGGTTTCAAGTTGTTTACGCCAAATTTTGACCCGGACATCCAAATGTTGCAGCAGAAATCGAGTCTCATCAGATCAGGCAATCTTCTACTGTCTACGTTTGCTGAGAACGTGCAAGATGTAGCCTCAGTTTCCTGTTCTTAGCTGACAATAGTGGCATCTAGTGTGGTCTTCTGTTGCTTCGAAGTCCCTTAAATCACCTTTTTCAGCATCCTGATGCTTGATTTGATCGTCAGCGTGCCGTCTTGAACATGTCTACAATAAGCAATAAGTCTACAGCAATAAGTTGCTGCCATGGGATTGGAACTAGTAACATATAAGGAGTTGTTTGTATCGAAACTATGTGTGGCGTGTAAAGTACCAAAATAACACCTATATGAGACACATTTTTAGCTTCTAATGTTAGAGATTCTGCAGCTGGCTTTGGGCTGTGCAGGGCTCTCTCTGCTGGAAGATGATTGAATAAAGAATTATAAATGTTTTGACCACTCCTGAGTCGGGTTTTCTCTGTTCTATCATGGGGATCAAAGAATCTGGTTTAATATAAGTCTCTTGTGTTAATGAGTGATTGTGCCTAATAAAGCGGCCGTTGAGTGTTCTTCCCAGTATTCTTTCTAGTCGAAGTGTTTTTCCTTGCTTTTACACCTCTTGTAAACCAACTGTAAAATTTCTAACCTTCCATGCACAAACAGCTGAGCAGCAGAGAACAAACCAGAGCAAAAATGTTAGTGAACACTGGACTTGTTATCTTCAGCTAGATGGGAACATGAATTTTTTCTCCATATATTGTTTTTACATCAGCCATAATAAATTAATTGGTAACTTTAGTTTTAGTCTATAAAAACACGAATTGCTGGGTGAAAAACAATCATCTAGAACAATTCACAAACCTCAAAGGGTTTCTGCAATGCAGGTATAAACAATGGTAATAACCAAAGAGTTGACAATGAAGAAATATATAATGGATAGAAAGGTGCTCATGGTATCTGCTACCAAGACGGTAAAAACGGAATGTAAACATGGAGCGAAACACAGAAAACATGGAAAAAAAATTATCACGAAGCTGTAACAAAACTGCATAGGTGGAAAGATGATGAGAGTACAAAGAAAAAGTAATGACAGATGAAGGAAGGTGGGAGAGTGTGCAGACCAGGGTCAAATCTTTTCTTGATTCTGAAAGACACAGAGCCACCCAGTGGTCAATTTGTAAAACTGTTTGAGGTTTATGGCTTTCCTCAGTAAAATATTTAACCAAGGTCAAAAAGAGGGATGGCAGTGATTTGAATTTTCTACTGAAAGCCCAACAGGACTCACCTCTGCTACAGGACACGCCAAAGACTTCAAGGCCAAAGGATAAAGGCAAGAGAAAAGAACAAGAACAGAAACAGAAACTATAGGAAGAAAGAAAGATGAAGGAGGGACAAAGGAAGAGAAGAAGAGAATTAGAGGAACACTTGAGACATGTTAGTCACAGAAGGGACAGGAACAGAGGTTCACTGTGCAGCGGGCGTGGCTCATTGTGAATTATGAAATCATATTTATGAATATCACATGATTTGAGATTTGAGACTGATTCCCTTTTTATCTTTTCTCCTAAACTATCAAAATTCAATTAGCGTTCCTTTATGAGTGTAAAGCCAAGCTGCTGATCATGAGAAATGAGATATTTCTGCATCCAATTGTTTTCACATTAGGCCATCAAACACATCCTACCTTTTCCTCCAGGTCTTTAATCTGCCTCCTCTGGATTTCTGTCTTATCTTCAAGATCACGAATTCTCTGCAATTATTTAGAGAGGGGAAAAAAATAATAACAATACCAGTATAAAGCATGTGACCTACAAACCTACTTCCACGCAAAGCTCTACTGTATCATCAGCAGCCACATTTACAGACAGCAACAGACCTGATGTGCCTGGTGCAGAAGTTCCATCCTCTCCTGGAGGATCTGGCAGTCGTACTCTCGACTCTTCCTCAGCATCTGCCTCCTCAGCTTCTCCACTGCCGTCCGCAGCTCGTCCCTCTGAAGCTCATCCAGAGGCTCGCCGTACTTTATCACCTGGTGAAAAGAAGACAGGCGTGAAGCACAAATACTGGATTGTGATTGATCTGAAAGACTCCTTACACCTCCAGTGTTACTGCTCTTTATCAGCTGAGGCTTTATCAAATCATAAGAATCCTTGAGGGCTTGTAGAAGCCTTTTCTGTTTCTTTATCTCTGTTAATAATCTCACACCAGTCATTCGTTTACCAAGAACTAGCTGTGTCAACAGCTTCGATGATCCAAATTATTTGGGAGGAATTTGGCATTTCTTATCTTAATTAGATAAACCTCACCCACTGTATCAGATGACTGTGGTGACATTTCAAAAGATGGGTGAGACTCAACAAAGCTACAACTGTTTTTGTTTTCTTTAGCCTTTTTTTTTGGTAAAAATGTATGGCTGTACGGCAATGCATAAATGCATGATGGCAAATCAAAGACCTTGTCTTGCTGCAGGGCGTTGTATAAGGTTGCTTCCAACTCCTGGATTTGCTGTGAAGAGAAGCAATGTAGAAAAGTGTTGTTAGTTAAGTTTCTAAGAACTTATTCACTTTTCTTCAAACAGCTACACGCCTAACAATACTGTCATGATTCTAATCATAAGATTATGTGTCACCTTGGGAACTGAAATTTAGACCCCAAATAAAACGAGGCACTGTTTTCTCAGCCCCAGATGTACAAGAGACAAAAAACACACCCACCATGTATGCCTGATCCAGGGCCTGTTTTCTGTAGTCCAGCTCCTCTTCCAGATATCCTTTCTGTTTGCAAAACATCTCCTGTACACATGGAGCATATTAGGACCAGTGTTTAGCAGAGAAAGAAGTGATAACATAAACTTAAACCACTTCCTAACATGTGGTTTAACTGTTTGAAACTATAGGATATGGATCTGTGAAGAAAACCCAACATCAATGACAGATTTTTTGTTTGTTCGGTTTACTAGTCATAACTTACAGGAAGGATCTGGGTACAACGTGGAATATTCAATAAACCATCGTCATTATTTCTCTTTTTTCCTTTCCTATCTATTCTTTTTTTTTTTTTTTAACTGAGCCCAGTGCCACTAAGTAACATTTAACGCCTCCCTGTTAAAGTGTCACGGTGCAAGTCTAGAACTTAATGTGCAGCAGGCACATGGTGCTTCAAATACTGGTTATGGAGACTCTTTGGGTATGATGTGACTTTATCCAAGGAATGTTAATTAAATGTCTTAAAGGCAGAAGGTTAAGCAGAAGAATCAGTCATATCACAAATGATAATCATGAAACAAAGTCTGCCCCTTGTTGTGTCCCACCATCTCTATCTCCAGGTCCATCATCTTCTGGTGCAGTGCTGCCTCTGTCCCTTCAATCTGTTGAATCCACTGGAAAATAACAAGCAACAAAACATGATTTATTAAACCACAGAACAATCTGATGTTAATTTAAACACAATGTAGCTTCCAGCCTTACCTTTTCTGCAAGTGACAAAACGGTGCTAGCCTGAATAATAGCCACTTGCTCCTCGTTCCTTAAGTTCTGCACAAAAAAGACATTTAAACCTTAATAATGTAAATGTTTTAGCGACGGAAAATGAAATGTTAAGTTCCGTATGAATTTACCCCGTTGTCTCCGAGGATATCCAGCAGTTTGATGAGATCTGGTATGCATACATCCTGTGGAAAGAAGACAATACAACTGATTAGGGTGTAAATACATATAAATTCCTTTAACATTTAATCTTTGCTGTTTTTAGCTACTTAACGATAAACTATGATAAAGCATCAGCCCGTCTCATTGCGCACCTTAACTCCTTCCTTCATACAGTAGATCTGCAGTGCACTGACTCCCTCAGAGAAAGGATGCATTCTCAAATGGTTGAATGGAGGAGACCTCCTCTCGCGCTCCTAAAACAGCAAAAAAACCCCACTTTTTATTATGCAAAAAGTCTTCTGCAAGCCTCCTATGAATTATAACAGCATTATAACATAATCTCTATCATAGGAGCCTAAAATTAATATTTAAATCAAGAGAGAAAAAAACAGGACGAGTGACAGTCTTACCCGGAGTTCTAATGATGGATTATATTAGTCCCTATCAGTGATTCTCTTTGCATGCTTGAGTTTTAGTAAGCAGCACTGTCTTTGTTCAGCTACAAAGTTTCTAACTTGGTTCACAAGTTCATTGCAAACGCTGTCATCTGACTAGTGGCATGCCAATCCTGACAGCAGCGCTGGAGGTTTTTAGTTTAAACCGAGGCTGAATCACTTTGATGTTGCCAGAGGTGAAATCAGGTGAATGTGCACGGCACGTCCGAGCAAGAACTTTTCCTCTGTGTTCACTAGGTGGCAGTTAAAGCCTTGGTAAGGTGCTGTCAGTCACTGCACCAGAGCGAAGCCAGAACACAGAAACTGCTGTCAGCTGGTTATCGAGCTTGGAAATCAGAGACTCTTGGAGCCATTCCAAGACACGAGGCATGCACCCTGTTAAACAACGATTCTGCTCTTCTCCACAGTCCTCGAGTTAAAGCAGGGATTGTGTTGTGTTGTTCTTTTAAAACCTCACTGTGTTCAACTCAAAGTTTACCTTGTACTTTTACGAAACGATATAATCCCCAGCCTTCAGAAAAAATTCGATAATTTCGGACACCACTTCTTTTCCCCTGTAAAGTGGCTACAGTCTCTCCTGATTTGCCATGAAATATTTCACTGTGGTTTAATTCACTTTAATAAAATCTATGAAATGTAAAACCAATGTGGCTGCTTTAATCACCAGAGTGTTGTTTGTGTAATAATTACACTAAAATCACTTTTTCTCAGCTCTTGGGAAAGCAAAACGTTTTTAACTCAGTAAAAAACACACAAGTTATTTAGGCTCACCTGATTATTAGGCGCAAACATTCACAGACAACCCTTATCTTACTTGGTAGAAAACCCTTTGTGACGTACCTCTAGCTCCAGTATCCTAAACTCTAACAGTTCATTTTGATCTTTGGAGTCTTGAAGCTCCTGCTGCAGCCGATTACAGTCTGACTCCAACTTTTCCACCTGGGTGCCACAAAGGATCAGAATGAATGTGTCTGTTTTCATTTCCACTATTTCATTGTTCACTGATTATCGAAAAAAAATGTGAGTCCAACCTTTTCTAACAACTCCTGATTCCTTCTTAGGAACAGCTGCTTCTCTTCAACCCATTTGGAGTCCTGATTAGTGGAAAGGTACACATCATTTCATATATTTATTAAACAAATATGGTTATTTTTTCCAATCCCTTCATGCACACATGCAAACACCTTCATTCATACGTGTGTTTACGCATCCTACCTGTCCCTTCAGGGTTAGTTCCTTCTCCAAGTCCTCTATCTTGGCTTTATACCTGAGAACCTCTGCTTGGAGCTGTTCGTGAGCCTGAACCAGGAGCAAAACAGATATTCATTAGAATTTTTTACAAATCTTGTAAGACTTTAATTTTTATCTGGCGTTCACTCCTGACTGCACTCAGGCTCTATAATGGGATCTGTTTAAGCCACACCTAAAACTCTCACAAATGTTGTTTTGGTTTTTTGAGGGGTTTTTGCAGCATTTCAACCCAACATACAACGTACATAATGTCGCTATATGCAGACATTAAAAGAGAACGACTGAAAAGTCTAAAAGAATGTTTTGTGTCCTGGTCAAGCATGGGACATTACCCAATCAATGATGGCAGCTGAACTAATTAAAAAGTACATCTGACATCCACATGATGTGGCCACGCTCAAAATGACTCTTTTACAGCCTCATACGATAGAATAAATGTCAAAAAATGATTTTATAAATCGTGTGTTTAGATGAATACTTCAGACTAGTGGTAATAAAATTCTCAATAACTGAATTTCTCACTGCTAAGGCAGACAGACGTAACCTTGAATGAACAGTGTTGTACCTCCAACTTAAATAATCCTCAGGGGGACATTAGAATTTTTGGGGGATTGTAACTTTACAGTTTCAGACCAGATCAGAGGTTTCCAGACTGAGCAGTAACTAATTAATTAATCTTTATACATGTACCTTAGCTTCGATTTCAGCATCCAGTAGGCCTCCTTTCTGTTCCTGCAGCAGGGCGTAAGCTCGCTGTAAGGCCTGGTATTCCCTGGTGAGCTGACGGAAACGTAGCTCTGACTCCTCGTTGGCTAGACTCTTGATTGATACACACAGGAAAAAGATCAAAGGTTATGATTCTAGGAGACAGCATCATTATACTGATACATCTGATGAGCTAACATTACCCAGCTGGTATGACTGAGCAAATTTGATGTTGATAGAAGAAGTTTAAAAAGTAAAAACACAATTGAAGGCCCTGATGTGAATATAAATGAGATTACTGAGATTAATGCTAGACTATCTTTTGGATATGATAAATATAAGCTCATACATCATCCAGGTCTTCCTCAGGAGTAGCAGGAGTTCTGTCCATTCGAAATGAAGCCACTGAGGATGTCTCTGAGTCCATAGACTCTTCATCATACCCAAAGAAAGTATCAACCACGATATGCCTCTGCAGAAAATAAATACCAAAATCTTTCACGATAGAGCAATCAATACACTTTTTTTTCCTTTTGGTGCTTCACATTTAACAAAAAGCCATGTTTTGTGTTAAATACTATCAATTTTTAGTTTGTTTCCTGCATTATTAACAGGTCGAGTTTCTCCTTGCACTCACTCATTTGTTTAACTACAGTTTACACTCTTATTGAAACAATCCGCTCAAACAGGACTGACTTCCATACTTTTTTTTAATGCACACTTTCTACACACACTTTAAATTAAGCAGCCATTAACAAATTGAATTTATCCTACCTTTATTGGCCTTGAACTTCTTTTATGCCGTTTCTTTCTTAGGAGTTTTTCTCGGTCCTGGAAAATCAGACAGATGAACAACACACTTTAACACTACGACTAAAGACACAGTTACTTTCTTTGATTTTCTTTCTTTAGGTTACATGATCAAATTTATAGAAGCAGCAAAATTACAAGAGCTACCCCATAGCAAAAATGCTATAGGTGTGCAAAAGTCATGAGCCACCCCTCAATTCTTTATATTTGTTTCCAAGGAAACAAAAAGTGGTTTAGAGCAATAGTTCTCCAGGCTTTCTGAATATCTGTGAATGTTTACACACTGGTTTTTAACTTAATTTCAGTCCAGTACTAATTATTTTCAGAGAAACATTTTGTTTGTTTGTTTGTTTAAACACGTAACACTGACCTAAGAATCATCCAAGCATAAAAAAGGCACCTAACTCAATGGACAAACCAGTGATGCATTTCTTTAGTTGGATATAATAAAAAATGATGACGATAACACAGTTTGATATGTTTCAAGGTGATTCTCAAAAAGCTATTAGCAAAAAACCTAACATATCTCGCATGGTGTACCGACCGTGTATCCTTGAAAGAAATTAGGCAGCTGAACAAGTGAAGGAGAAAAGAAGAAGTGGCAGGGCTAAAAAGGTTCCTGCAACAATATGTGAAAGTCATGACCTTTGAGAAACAGATCCATCAAAGACCTGACACCGGATCTGAGATCCAGCTAGTCCTTCAGTTGATCCATCAAGCCTCATCAGAGACGGTCTCAGTGGAGTAGCAGCTGTTTCCTTCTTAAGGAAGGGAAAGAGAAATTCCATCAATTTTGATTAAAAATTGATGGAATTATATAACTTGAAAAGTATCATCCATATTTTTATTTACCACACAATTCCACCTGGAAAGGCTCAGACTGGCAAGAGCTTCATTTTATTTTCAGCATGATGACGATCCCAAACACACTACCAGTGCAGTAAAAGCATATTCAGATAGAAATGTTGGCTTCCCCAGAGTCCGGACCTCAACATTACTCCAGCAGTGTGGCATCATTTTAACAGGTGAAGCAACAAAAGGCAGCCAAATCCATAAGAGATTTGGGGTGTCCTTCAAAAAGCCTGGAGAACTATTCCTGAAGACAAAATGATGGGTGGCTTGAGACTTTTGCAAAGTAGTGTACTACAGATGTAAACAACACATATGTGGTTTTTTGGAATATGTGTGATTTAAATACCATCAAAATCGATGATTGTAGACAAAAAACTAATCTGAAATTCCTGCTATGGGTCATATTTATCAAACCCAAACATATAAACTGGGATATGCTCTATACTGTGCTTGATTTTCTAGTTTTCTAGTAAGGATAGTCATGGCAATACATTTTCACAAGATTAACAAGCATTACACCAATTTTCAGCAAACTATGTCCTGTTTGGAGCAGGTCCCTACTGTGGGTCATCTTGACCATGATGTCATAATAGCTCATTATCCTCTGAAATTACTTCCTTTTCATCTGAATCTATCTGACCTAAGCAGAAAGATTCAGTGTTGTATCAGGACTGTGTCAAAATGTCAGAGCATCACGGCAACAACATGGCTTACTTGATAAATTACTGAAACACTATAAGAAACATACTCTTGTCAGTTCATCAATCATGCTTTGCTGCTCCAAGACTTGAAGCTTGAGAAAGGCTATTTCCTGGTCATCATGGGCTTGGTCCAGGTCATTGAGAGACTTTAGCTTCTTCAGTGGAGGATGAGAGTTTATCCTCTCCTTCTGCAGATCCACAAAAACACAGAGAAGTGTCCACTGAGATCACACTATTCAAGTGTAAGTCAGCGTGCGTATATACAGAATGAGGCTACTGATACTTTGTGCAGACCATCTCAAGGTTTTCTTTCATCAGGCTCTTCAGCTTCTCCTCCAGCTTCTGGATCGTCTGGGTCAAATCGTCATTCCTCTTACTCAGCAGCTTGTTCTTGTCCAGCAGGGGCTTACACTGCTTCTCTGACTCTCGAACACGTTTCAGCTAGTGAGGGGAAAAAAAATCATAAATTTAATTTAAATGGTGATTAAGGAAGACCCGTAAGAAAAGAGATGACAACGAAACAGCAGCTGGGAACTTTCAAGGAAAAGCAGAAACATTAAAAATGAATTAAGTTTCTTGAATTTCATCATACCAGTTCATTCCTCTCATCCCCCAGCAGCGAGTTGCGGTCCTCCAGCTTGCGTATAGTCCCATTGAGTTCAGCCATACGCCTCTGGTTTCTCCTCATGTCCTGAAACAAACAAAATGCAATCCTTTATCATTTGACCAATCAAGTCACAAGGGAAGTGTGAAGAATACGTGATGTAATGGACTGCAAAACAGAACAGTCCATCCTGTCTTGTAGTGGTTTTGTTTTGCACTGATTAAAATTAAATTATAGCTTGGAGCTGATTCATGTGCGGACCGCCCCTCTCTTATAGTCTTTTATAGTTTGGCACTTACAGAAATGCCTGAGTGTGTACATGACATGGTTTCCATTTTGACTATTAGACTTTTAAAACAATCTAAACCAAGTGCACTCAAGTGCTTCAGCAAAAGTATTGAAGTGAATTCAAGAAGTAAGACAGTTTCTTTTAAATTAGCAGTTTAATATTATTTGTTTTAATTCCCTGAGCTGCTTCTCGATGGTTTCTCTACTTACTGGGCTGCCACAGTGCTCCGCACCATCTCCAGCTCTGCCTGGGATTTCTCTTTTTGGGCTTCCCAGGCCACACTCAGCCTCCTTAACAAGGAATAACTGTTCATCCAGGGCATCCTTCTGAAGCTGCAGCTTCTGTAAGTAACCCGATGTCGATTCCAGTTCTTTTTCCAGAGCGAAAATGGTGCGGTCCTTACCTTTGATTTCGTCCACCTGTGGTGTGGGAGAAGGAAATGGAAAAATCATTAAGTAATGGCTGAAAGGAAGGCGTTTTATTTCCGATGCTATCCGAATTGTTCCCATCACTCTTTATGACATTATGATCAGAATTAGGGTTTTAAATGTTAGAACAGAAAGTTTTATATGATTTTTGCTTGTGTTTTCTTTTAATGTATTTCTAACAAACTAACAAACAACTGTAAAGAAACCAGACCGACTTATACAAGTAGAGAGGAACAACAGACCCATAAATAGTTGACCCTAACCATGTTATGCTTGAACCATGAAGCAATTATGAGAAAATTTTTTGAAAGTGCAGTGTTTATTGAGCTTTCTGATTAAATTTTAAAATGACATAAATGTAATATAAAATTGAATATATGACGTTTAATTTGTATTATGTTTGCTACATCTGGCATTGTCGTGCAACCTATCACTTAAAGGATGTATTGCACAAATTATTTTGCAATTATTTTGTTATTTTCAGGGCTTGACCAGTATTTTTAAAGCTTGTTTTAAAGTTGTGAAAAGATTTTATGCAGATATTTTAATATCATGTTGTTGTTGTTTTTTTTATTGGCTAAATAAAAACTAATTTTAGGCATTTCGACTGACCGATAAATTACAAAGACTACCTTGATAGCAATTTGGAAGGAAATTTACTGCATTAGATGTGTCCATAATTAAACTCTCTCAGCACCAGGTTTCTACGTTATGCAGGTTACAAATGAAAATGTTTTCCCTGCTGCTCTTTTGTTCTTACATAGGTTGCATTAAACACAAATGTAGCTCATTTAAATAGATAGAAATCTACCCCATTCTTCTCTATTTTACTCTGTATACTCTGTTGTAGACACAGGCTAGCTAGAGAAACTATTCAAGTAATGATTCCTGTTAAAATTCTTTGAATACTTCTCGAAGTCTCGTGAGAGAGTGAATCCATTATAGAGTTGTGTCTACTAAAGCTCAAACAATAAAAGATTTTAAAGAGTATACCAACACTGATTTTTGGTGATTTAAAAATCTGTTTTTTTTCTTTCAAACACATAAAACATAAATAGATTTCCCTAACATTTTTCACGTGTAGTTATTTATGATTCCTAAGGTCACAGATTCATGGACGCAGAAATTGTGACATGCTCATTATTCATATGTTGAAGATACATGTGAAACCTGTTTCTAGTTTTATGGTGTTTATTTGCAGTGACTGTTCATACCAGTCTGCGGATGTCTTTCTCACAGTCCCATTTGATCTTAGAGATCTGCTCCTGGTGCTGCTGGTGCTCCACCCGCAGGTCCCCAGCCTTCATCTTGTCAGCCTGGATCATGTTGCTGAGAGCCTCGTCAGTCTGCTTTTTAGTAGCCTTTAGCTCTGCTATCTCCTGCAGGAGTTTAACTCTCTCCTGGTCAAAGAAACGACGTGCGTCCTCCTTGGCTTCAAGAGTCAGTGCTGTGCGTACCTGAAAAAGTGAAGGCAGAAAGAAAAAGGTTGACCAGGTTGACCAGGTTGATAAGGGTTTTATTTATTTATTTATTTATTTATTTATTTATTTATTTATTTATTTATCTTTACATTTTTCTGAAAAACAAGTAAGTGTAGGGTGGAATGAAAATCTTAAAATCTGTTTAACGGACATCTTTAAACTCACCTTCTCTCCACTGCCATCACGCATGGCATTCAGTGCTGCTTTCAGCCTCTGGTTTTCCTGGTCTTTGATTTTAGCATGGCGGGCCAGTTCTTGCTCGTGCTGCCGTGTCAGGTTTTCCCTGAGAGCCTGGAGCTCCTTTTGCTTTTCCTCATGCCACTTTGCCCGCTGCTCTGTTAGCATGGCAGTATGACGGTGCTGCTCCTGCTCTCGCACCCGCTTCACCTCTTGCACCTTGTCTCGCTCCAGTTTGCTCACCTTTAGAGGAGCACGAAAGGAAGGGTTTGGTTATTTTTCATAAATACATACTATAAAAATTTCTCAAGCTGTCAGTGATGGTTCTGAACATTTTAACATTTAAACTTTATTAAGGTTTTAAAAATGCTGTATTTACACAGAAAGTGGTCCAAGAGATAATAGTCCATATATATATATATATATATGTATATGAGATGTAGTACAGTACCTTGCATTTTTCTTGGTGCAGCTCTATCTGAATGTCAGTCAACTTGGACCTGAGATCTTCATTAGCTGCCTGTAAGGCAGAAATAAGGGCTTCGGGCTTCTCGCCCTTCGTACGCCCTTTCTTAGCCATTGATTCAAGAACTAGAGAGGCTGTTCTAATGCTTTCATTGAGACTTCATATAAGCTTTCCGAGGTGCTCCCAAGGTTTCCAGTTCCTCCTCTTCCTCATTCTCCTATTAGACACAAGGGCTTGGGGTAGGAGGAGAGACAAAAGAGTGACAGAGTTAGACAAAGCAAGTCCAGATTTACTTTAAACAGAGTATGATTAAGATTCTTGTACTTTGAAATAATAAATTCCTGGAAACATAGCAACAAAACTGATGTTTTGCCCCGTCAGACTTCATACAAGCAAACTAAAAAGGTATGAAACCACTGTAGGAATCACCGATTAGGGGAAATACAGTGTTTTAGCAAGCTTGTCCTGCTACACTGTATAAGCCCAGATAAAAAACACTGGTCTCACCCAGGATTAGGACAACCATGCATTGTTAACACCGCAAGAGGACATGGAAGAGAGACAAGGGTGGAGGTGTTAATGCTAGGCTATAACCTAGCTAAAACCTAGCCCTAACGCTAAGCTCCTCAAACCAATTTCCACCACCAACTTGTTGGCTAACGAAGGCTATTTCATTTTTAGGTAATTATATAAAAATGATGAATGAAGTCTAATCTTATCTAATGTAATCTGAAATATGTAACTGAAAAATACAGTAACAAACTTGGGAATAGTGCATATTTGGGCTAAATGCTCATGCCAGTTAACAGGCTCACAATGAAAACATGCACCACCTTAGTTTGGTAGAAAAGACAACATGCTCCAATTATTAAACGTCAGTACAAATGGTAAAAATATAAATACACTACAGTTTTGTTGGGCTTTTCAAGTCTGATTGACCACTTGGGACTTTTTACCGTATCTATCTGTATATATATGCTATCCGAATTTCCCAGAGGAACCCACCCGAGGGATTAATAAAGTTCTATCTTATCTTATCTGTTCAACATGCAGACACCACTGATAGTTTTAAAACTACCAGGGTAGTAATTAGTGGTCAACCTCTACTTTCTGAGTAACAGTTACCCAAAAAGGTACCCAAAAAGTCATGGACCTACTAAATTCATTAGGACTCCCCTTGGGGAGACTAGCTTTCTTGCAGTTTGGCCACATGCAGTTGAGAAGTTGTTGAATTAAAATGGTAATCCTTCAAAGCCACACTGCTAGCATGGCATAAAAAACTGGAGATAAGGGTTTTTTGAAGAATTTAGTTCTAATTTGTTAATATTCAGATCTCCCAGCAACCCATTTAAGGTTAGTGATTAGGCTAATATTAGCCTCATGTTTATGGAATTTTGCACTTGGCTTACCTTAAAGGAAAAGCTCATAATTATGACAATATTAGCTTGAACGGCAACATCGGTTACTTTCTGATTTATTTGTTTGAAACCTCCTGTGAGCAGTTTCCTCTGCACTTATGCAGATTTATCTCAGGAGCCCCTGCCTTTTTGCTTTCAAAACCATGTGAGACAGCTTGTCCCGTCCATTAACTGGGACCTGTGAAAGAAAAGCCGGAGTTGGTCCCTGTTTGTTTTTCCTCATTTTGTGGCATAAAGCAGTTTGATGCCACTTCCTAAAAGTATTTTGCTCTCAGTCTTATAGAATCAGTTATATTCAATATTTTTTTATGCCTGTAAATTCCGCATGTCCATAAAAAAGTTACATAAAACCTTTTAGAACTGTAGTTCTTTGTGACTGTTGCTCGGTCAGCTTCTTTCATGTGCATTCGATTTCTTGTTTGACTACAACTGTTATATGCCTAGTTATAGTCATGCAAGAAATTATAGTCACTCATTAACATAACAAAAAAGCAGTAAACACAATGCACACAATGGAAACATCCTCATAATTTTTTCCTTTCAGTATGATGACCTACACATGCATTATGTTATGGTAAATCCCTAAGGTCATACAGATCCAGTGTGTCACAAGAAGCTTTGCCTAGACAGAAAGAAGCCAATAATGACAATTTCTGTGGCAAGAGATTTTCATTTGAGAAATTTTGCGGTGTAAATAAAACCTGAACAAGCATGTAGGAAGTGAAATTGTCCTGATCATATTGGCTGATTATCAAACCAAAGTGGTTTTGGAACAGATGGTTGTCTGGATATGCCGAGTCAGTGGTTATCCTTCCTGCCCCACAATCTGACTTCTGTTTGTGCACAGCCTGAGGTCATCTGAAAGCCAACGACCTGCTAAAAGCCACAGATAGACTTGTGCCGCAAATATAGGACATTTGGGCTAAAATAAGACTATGAGAGACTTGTCCTATCAGTTTACTGAACCCAGTCTATTTTCACACATTCACACACTAGTCCGGGGTAAAATAATGCTCAGTTCATTTCAATATTATTTATATAGGACCAAATCACAACAACAGTCACCTCAAGAAGCTAAGGTCGCCTAAAGATGGTAATGCAGGCCTACCGCACTTACTGCATCTGCGTGTAAGATGTACAGTAAGGCTTCAATGTCTTCCTCAGTGGTAGAGAAAAATAAATGGCAAACTCATGAGCCAAAAGGACAGCTTTTAGCTCATATATATGTTGCTTTACTGATTAAAACAGACATTGTTCTTATGGCAATCAAATTAATTACACAAGAAGGTAAATATAGGCTTTACCTTGACCAATCTGTCTAAAAAAATTAATAGATAAATAATAAATACTCAAATTACCATCTGGAGTTGCAGTCTAAAGATTACAGGTTTGGTGCCTTTTCTAAGGTATTATGCATATGCTAACATGAAATATGTTAATTATGAAAAACAGAGTATGATGTATTGCGTGTGAGTGTGTGTACAACACACATGTTGTATTTAATATTAGGTTAGCCGTTACTAGGCTCTTGTAATGGCTGTGCTGCTAAAATTCTTCTTAAATGGCATACATATATATATAAATATGACTACCAACTATTCGTGACTTTGCCTGTTCTATGCAGATTCAACCAAAGTTTTATAGATTAAACTGTTTCTAAACTCTTTGGAAACATTGTTACAAGGTCACTGTTTTAACACATTTGTAGAGACGTGCAGACTGTTTTCCTCTAATACACTACCCACAAAATGTTCATATGAAAGTGAAAAAGACTGTGCATTGTCACAATGACTTACAAGGAACTGGACTACGTCCCTCATAATCTGAAGTGGAATGACATAACATTGCTTAACAGATTTGACGATGCAGATTAGAGATGAAGTAATCATCACGTTTAGTCCACATGGGCTCCTTATTTTGCAGTTAGTTTACAGTGCGGCTTTTCAGAAGTACTGCTGACGTTATTAAGCATCACTTCAGGAGGCTGTCCAAAGTAACACTAATGAAGTAGCAACAAGTAGCAACTTCAAAAATGATTTGCAATAAGAGTGCAGCACAGTTATGTCATGTACATTACCATTTTAAAACAACTGTCTGTAATCTATGAACGAATTTGAAAATGTTTGCAGAGGAAACTTGAGCTTACTCGAGTTTGCATCTTCAGTAGATTTCTAAGTATGATGTGAAAGTATAACCAGATTTGCACCCTTAAACATGAAATATTTCAACAGATATTTTTCCTGCCAATTCAATTGTAT